AGTACTCTTGGATGGATCCCGTCTGGTCCCATAGATTTGTGAGTGTCCAGATGGCGTAGTAGGTCACTATTTCCTCATCAGTGTTGTTGAACTGGTGCATGGAATCGCACCAGTTCAGGTTCAGTAGTAGCAGCTCTATGAAGTGAGCAGAAGGTGAGTGCTCAGCCACCTTTGCCAAGCCAGCAAGATCTGCATTAAGCCTCCCTAAACTCAAGCCTGTGTGCGTAGCTCTTGGACATTGACGTGCACCAGTGCAGGCAAGCTCTTTAAGGACTGTTTGCCATTTATTGGGTTAATATCTTTCTGGGGTGTAAAAGCTGGCAATATCAAATTCTGTATCATAATAGTCCAAACTAGCTGAATTGACTCATTGATGAGTGCTTTTTGGGGTTTGGCCATATTTGGCAATCTTTTTTACTGTTTATCATTTTAAGAGGAAAATAGCTAATGCACAAACATACTGTAGATTTCAAGTATTACTGTTACAGGTTGAGTTAGTTAAAAATTTGACCAGATCACGTTTGTTAGTCAAAAATTGGCAAGCTGCATTTTAAGCATATTGCTTTTCTTAACTGGATATGACAGTCAAAAAAGCATGCTCTGCTGGACCAGCCTAGGCAAATATCATTTATATTCCCAGCCCCTGTAGATTAGGGAACATGATGGCTTATGAGTTTGACAGTTTTCATTGCTTTCTTGGAATGGGAGGAGTGAAGAATTTCATTGTCTGCTCCTGATCTTGTTTGAGCAGACAGATCCAGAGAGGAGATGGGGATTGGGAATATTACGACTTTCTTATAGTTTTCTTTCTTTCAACTTTACTATCAGACTTTACACTCCTAAATAGGAGATTCCATGTGTAATTTTATATTTTCCCTTCAATAGCAATAATAGAATAATAGTTTCATTTTTATTCTCTGCCAAAGTTAACTGTTTGTCTAAATCCTTCAGTTTTCTTTAAAAATGTAAGCTTCCTAAAGCTTAGCACAATGGTAATAGTAAGAACTGTGCAGTTCTTTAGTGCTAAGGTTTGTGTTTTACACTGATGTCAGTCATGCTCTGTCTTGCTATTCTGTGCTTTCATTGTCTTGGTAGTCAAAGACATGGAGGATCCTGATTGTTAAGGTCTCCTGCAGAGCTGGGAGATA